TGCAAGTCAGAATTAAACTGAGGTCCTTTAGATATCTATCTACAACTTARAAGCAAATATTTGTCCCGAGTTTTTCCACTGAACCACAGTTTAAAATGTCCAAAATATCCCTTTAAAGCCTGAAACAACCAGCTGTGCACTCCGTACCCTCATTATACCTGAATTCATGMTTTTTTTAGCCTTAGAAGTATTTTATATTCAGTTTCTTTGTCAGGAAATGTTGCGAGGATAAACACTGCCAAAGAAATTTGTGTTACAATACTTATCARGCATGCACCTCTTTTGTAATTACACCCATGGCTGATTTCTTTTAGCTCTTTTCAGATTAATTTTCAATGACCTTTATGTCACCAAATTGGGCCATGTGTGGAAAGAAGTTTCCAGCAGTGTTAATTGTTTTAGGCATTGATGTGCGGAGAACTCAGGTTTTTTTTTCTTTGTGTGTGAATAGAGGTAATTACAGTTTATTTGCTCTCTGTTTCTCTTTCTCTTCTGCATCTCCCTGTGGATTTTTTTTTGTTTTGTCACACTGTTTCTCTGGCAGACACCTGCCACATATTTCTTCTCAGCATGGGATAAGTTAAGTAAGGTATTCACAAATCTGGAAGCTTTAAAGTGCACACGGGGCCTTGTTACGCCAATCGTCATAACGTCTTCCTTTCTCTGCCCAACTCCATTCGCCTGCTGGTGTCTCTGCGGAAATGGTRGCTTTGTTTCCTTCCCCTCTCGATAATGACTGGGTACTTGCCCATCACAGAGGTAATTAATAAAGAACTTAATTGAATAATAGACTACGAGACTACGAGATGGCTGAGTCAGGGAGGACAGAAAGGAAAGTGAAGGAGGCTTCTTTTGTTGCAGTTTTATTCGATAGTGGTTAGTCACTTCAGCTCAGGGAATAATGGATAACAAAGATATCACAGCCACTCCACACTATAATGGATTTATATTAAGTCATATTATTTTGATGAGTACCTAAGCAAGCACCTAATTTTCGTGTATGCTGCTTTGCACCATTGCTGACATACAACATATCAATTTATGTCACAGTTTGAATCCTGTAATTACATACTCAGGAGGCACCTTTGTGTGGAAAAGTAAAATAAATGAAATATTATTAAGAAATTTGTCCAAGTGAACAACTGAAATGTACAACTAAATGAAAAAGGGTTTTGACAGATGGTTATTAATTTGTAGCCACTCCTAACAACTGGAGTTTATGTTTCCTTTCTTCTCAAGTTTGCCCATTCCTTCATTTTCTATACCTGCTTGATCCAATCTAAGGTCATGGGAATAAAATCACTGTTTCCAGCTGTAACTGAGTGCCAGGCGGGGGGCATGATAGATCAGTGGCCAGTGCATCATAGGGTCACATGGAGCCAAACAAACATTCYCACTCACTATGGTCTGTCTAAAAAGGCCAACTTACCAAACATGCATGTTTTTGGACTGTGGGAGGAAACCAGAATTTCTGAAAAGACAAAACACACTCAAGAACTAAAAATACATGCATGACTGGGGATAAATGTTCAAACCCAAAAGAATGGCCCCAGCTGTGTTTTGAAATCAGGACTATCTTGCTGTGAGGCACCTGTTGATCATCATCCATCCATCCATCCATCCATCCATCCATCCATCCATCCATCCATCCATCCATCCATCCATCCATCCATCCATTTGCCCTTACTGGCTTTTTCTCCTGGGGAGCTGGTGCTTATCTCCAGCAGTTATTGAACAAGAGGTGGGCTGCACTCTTGATATTTTTTTTAAAGAAGATCACAGGGCCACATAGAGACAAATGAGACTAACAGCCATCCACACTTTCCATTACATCTATTTACAAATTAAACTAAGTAAGTAAAGTTTTGTTTATGTAGCGCCTTTCTCAGAAATAAATTCACAAGGTGCTGTACATTCAGGGAAGGGGGGGAAGGGGCAGTTAAGACAGGTAATGCAGCAAACACAATTGTGCTACCTTAAAAACAGAACAACAGAAAAACTAAAAAAAAAAGAACACATCAGGAAAGATGAGAAAAAAAAGCAAAACCATCATATTATAACAACACTGTGATACACTATGGTGTTTATGAAAAAACCTCTGCATAGGGCAGATTTATTAGCCAGAGGAGTAAGTGAGTTTAGGGGGGCCCGAAGAGTCCCAGTTCCAGTTTCCAGTCCCCAAAACCAGCGCAGCCATAGTTCCGAAAATTGATGGTAAACTGTTCATTCTGTGTGGCCCTCAGCCTGCTCAGGAAACCAGATCAGACGGGTGAGAGAGAGAGTTACCATTTATCCTAGCATACATGTTTTTGTTGTACATATATCAATGATAAATCAGTCTGCATGTGTTTTTCAAATGGCCGAGATATCTACTGCATTGAAGAGTGCTTAAAGCTGTAAWGTCTACTATTTACCATGCTGCTTTGTGCTTGAATTTCTGATACCCAGTGGGTTTTAGTTCAGCACGTAACCTTTTTGGCAGTTTTTAAATCAGTTCCTTGATCGTCAGTACCTTCATGCTCTATGTCCCAGYTGCATAGATGGGGCTGAGCTTGGAACAATGAGCTGACTCTTTCTTTTTTCTCTCTTTAAATGTAGTTGAATCCAGCTCTTCCTGGGTTGAATCGGTGCAATAAGGCCTGTCAAGCTGCTTGACAAACTCATTTTTGGCCAGCGGCYCTTGTTCTTGTCTGACGAAAATGTTACACTGCTGTCTCATTCTCTTCCTCAGCSTTCTAGAACACATCACTGAGTGGGTGGTTATTCTGTCATCATTTTGAAAAGAGAGTGTCTGCACGTACACAGACGTTGGCTTAAACACTGTCCAACCAATATTCGTTTTCTCAGTGGGGTGTTATTGTCTTTTACTTCCAGGTTAAAAGCCTCTAAGAGGACTTAACTCTTGGCCTCTATTTATTAATTTAATGAAAGCATGTCTGTGAAGATTCAGTTCTACCAATGACGCACAAGCCCTGCATTTCCTAATGGTTCTTTTCAGAGTGGATATTGTATGTGAATGCTACATAAAATACWGCTCAAAAACAGCTGATCTCATCTGATGAGTCCAAGAATTTCAATAGATTTTTTTATCAACCTCGTAGAAATGCTGTCATTGTCATTGAAAATGAATTGAAACGTTGTTCACATAATATTTTTTGCCCCTGTTGTTAAATTTCCTTTCAGCATATTTTTTCTTTTAGTCCTTATCCTCCTCATTCAGCAGTTTGAGGCACAGCAAAGGGTCATTTCCTGACAAGAGGTGGTGATTTTTGCAATAGAACCAGAGGTGTTGAAATGCAGTGCGACTAAATGGTTTCCAGTGGTCTGAATTTGTCAGGTCCCAACCACAGACAAAGCCTGTTGTACAGACAGGTGTATAGCAATTTTAAAAGCAAGAAAGAAAAGGAAGAAAGATAAAGAAAAGGGGGCTGATCGAAGCACCGAGAATAGGGGTGCAGTCAGATGGTGCTGAAAAGAGCCTACACCTGAACGCATCACTGCATCCTAATAACTTCTTAACTTAAAAAAGAAGAAGAAAAAATATCTCATCATTCATTTTTTTTCCACTTCTCCCTCTTTTTCCACCTGCCTACCAATAATCTGGCTCTGTGTGTGTGTTCACGGATGTATAGATATGAATCTGTTGGAGGCAGTGTGGTGTTTCTGCTTTTGATTGTCATCACCTCCAGAGTTATTCATGTTCATGCGGACTTTGCCACAATGGCTAGATAGTACAGTCTAACCAAACACAGTATCATGTTACTGCTCTCAAGCTTTCTGTGGAGTGGGCAACAATGATCTATTGTAAATATACTTAGCATGAAAAGTAAGGAAATTRYWATTTGGATGATTATTTCTTTGTTGTAACAATTCTTCTTGGCAATAGATCTTATAGCAAGTGTGTTGGTGTTTTAGGTGATTAAAGGGGCAATATCATGTAAAATCAACTCTTTTGAGTTTCATATCATGTTATAATGTTATACTATCATAAAAAAACCATGCCCATGACTCATTCATGCAAGTTTGAGAAATTATGCAGCGTTTTTAGGCAGCCATGCTGAGGAGCAAAACGACAGGTGGGGACCAGAAACGCCCCTGGGTTGTGTCCTTTTGGGACAAGCTCCTCCTCTGGGATATGTCTCCAAGCCGAGCTTCTTCATCATGGAGCACACCTCCCCACCCCCCACACCCCGCCCATGACTCCTGCAGGCTCTCGGCAGTAACAAATCAAACAATGAATGAAACTGAAAGTGAAAGTGAAACTGTCTGCTGAGCTGTCAACATTACTTCTCACTCAGTGAAGCTCTTTTTCAGATTCAAAATACCTTTGAGGAAATGTATTTTCAGATGCCAAGTAATCATGCATCATCAGCTAAAGGTGACATAGATACTTTATTGTGGAATAMTATTTTAATATATGCCTGAAAAAAGCATAATATATATTGCCCCTTTAAACAAGTTTGGCTGTAGTTTAGGATTAGGGTTAGCTGCTCCACGGCCCCTTCCATCGTTGAGTTTCGCACATGAATGTCTGATAGTGACAATGTGTCACATTCAAAAATACATCAGCATCACATGGCAATAATTACAGTAATTYCAAAGTGGCAAATAATTTTTGACATGTATTATGCACCTTTGAACTGCGAGGACTCCAGATATGGAACTAATAACAAAACTAGATAGAACCAACAGTACCATTGTGGTTACTTTTTAAACAGTTTTTTTTGTTTGTTTTGTTTTTACCACAGTGGTTAGAGCTGTAGCCTCTCAGTGAGAACACCACAACAGAGAGCCTACATCACACAAAAATGTAGTAACACTCTGACAATATGACCAACCTACAAAGGCACTCCTGAACTATGCAGTTTGCTTGCTCTTCATTCCTGCTGCTTGCTTTACATCACCTCTTTATACCAACGTTCTTTCTTTGTCATATATGTCAGTTRTGTTTCTTTTTGCTCTCCTGCTCATTGTTTTCTCTTTTGTTTTTAACGCATCAGTGGGCCTCATCATTTTATCAGCTTAGCCAAGTAAGTAAAGCCAAAACAGTTTCAGAGCTCTACGCTATGTATATACATTAACTTCAATAGGTTTAGCATTTTTACACTAACAGGCACTCCTAACAACAACAACAACAACAACAACACACACACACACACACACACACACACACACACGTATATATATATATATAT